TTCAAAACGTCTAGGTGGGACTGTTTCTCAACTGATTTTTCAGACCCACCTGTTGAGAGAAGGCAGCTCCTGCCAGCTCACGGCCTGTGCGGGGCGCTTGGGAAGAGCAGCTGGCCAAGGTGGGCTGCTCTGCCTCTTGGGAGGTTCCGTGGCAGTGAGCCGTTGCCACAGCCCAGGGAAGAAAGAAACTGCTCTTGGGGAGATACATTGCCCTGGATTGAATGGTCCTAAAATGTAGTGCTGCTTGCTCTCATGTTTAAACATAACGTGGGGAAGAACAAGTATGGCAGGGTGTGAAATGTTGATGATGGCCAAAAGGGAAGTTCTGGTTTCTGTGTTTGTGTAGAGTGTCACCAAATGCAGCAGACATTTACCTGCTTGACCAGTTACAACAGTTGCCAAGTTAGTAGTGTTGGATAGCACTGCATAGGTCCAGATTTTGCAAGTCAGCAGTGCATCATTAAGCTTTCTTTGTGTAGTGTTCCTTAAAGGTCATGTTGGGCGGTTAATGCTAGTTGTTGGACATGCAGTCTGTGGGGAGAGGTGTTTCAGGGTTATGGGTCCATTCCACTGATTGGAAGGTTTATGTGGAATTCCTTGATTTTCTGCAGGCATCCAGCATCATTTTGGGCCTTGTATATGCTTCTGAGCCCATCTGTAAAAGGGAGAGAGAGGTAATTCCTTGTCAGGTGTCCTTCCAACATTCTCTTTAAAGTCCGAGTATTGAATCGAGAAGTGGGAGGGCAAGGATGTGAGGGAATGTAAACCCAAATGTGTTAGCCTTGCTCAGCCTCTAGCGCATGCATGCCTGTGCGGGATGCCTTATGTATGCACACCCACTGTCTTCGGACCAGTTTGGTCCTGTTGCAGTTTGCACCCCTGTTTTATCCTGCCTCTGTTTGACCCATGAGTCTTGCTGGTGAATGGTGCCCTTTGCCATGCAAGACTGCATTTGCAGACTGCAGAGCTGGGTCAGTTCTGTTAATTTTATGATGATTCCTCAAAGTTCTCCAGATGCCAGACTTGAACTGTGAAGGCATTTCTCCTTTGTTTAACTCTGTGCAAATCAAAATACTTGACACTTCCTACATTTTATTCGTTTTGCAGATCTCATGCGAAGATTGTTATTTTTTTGAAAAAAAATCCATATTAGATGCTCTTAAGACAAACAACCACAGAATCGTTTCTTGGCTGTATGAGAAGTGAATTATGATAAAACAGTTTTATCACGGCCGATAGCAGAATGCTGATAAACGGCGCTGTTTTTTCCTGTGTTTGTCTCTGGGTTTGGGTTTCCATCCCGTCTCCCACCCTGTCCAAAGAGAGCATGGACAAGAAACTATCGTCATTGTAAACAAAACTAGATCTCCTGTGACACGGCACTTCCCCAACCTGTCTCCTGCTTGTTTATACAGGTGCCTATAGAGGAATGTGGTTATTTGAAGTAAAGCGTCAGACCTGATAAACAGAGGAGTGAAGGGGTCACATTCTAGAAGTGGTGCTCCCCATCAACACTGCAGCATTCTAAAGCTGCAGATATAGGCCATTATTTTCCTTTTCGTGTGCGTTGCCAACAGTGGAAATGCAGATTGGAAATGTCCTCTGAATGTGTTTGTGTATCTAGCTGGTAGGTTTTTCTTCCCAGCTCAGCTCTTTTCCCATTTCAAGGCTCTTCCTCCTCTTCACAGAAAGAATTTCACATACCAGAGCTACATGTGTTGTTTTTTCAATCACATATTTTTTTTTTAACCTGTTATTTACATCTCCATCTTGTATCAGTGTCTCTTGCTGTTTTGTTGATATGATATTTTATAAGCAAAAATAAATTTAGGAAGGTATGGCAATCAATGTAGGTACCATTAAGAAGACTGAAATCTGCAGTTCAAATCCTCCCTGATGAGTGGATCCCAAAGGCCTTTGCTCTTGGCTGTAGGGAGGTCATCGGGGACAGCAGGGTGAGAGTTGGAAACTGCCTAAACAGATGCTTTCATCAACAAACATCCTTTTCATCTCCTTTTGAAAACACTCTTTTTTTGGTAGGAAGTCATGGTGTTTACTCTTGTTAATTTAGCATAGTAAAAGGGATATGATCTTTTTACTACGTGTCGAAAGCATGGTTTGAGGGCATTTCTAGAACTCTACTCATCCAAGATAGACAGTGTAATTATACCTGGTTTTGAAGACTTATATCCCCTGTTTATAGGAAAATAAGAAGTTGACTGGTTTTCTTCTGTGTGCCTTTTGTTTCCTGCTGTTGCTATAAAAATGTTAAGATGTGTACTTCATGGGCATTAAGTTCCCTCAAGTACTCCAGCCTGAGCAGAGGGCTTGTTCAGGGTTATGTCCAGTCATATCTGCCTGCTGATAGTGACTGAGGCAGATCTCTTCTTGTTGACTCTTCTTGAAAGACCTCATGTAAAAACCTCCATTTGCATTTTCAAGGCTTCATTTTCAGCTAGTTTTTCTTTACTCATCCAAAGAAATGGAGGCTAGTTAGATAAATAATATGGGCTTAAATCTTAACTCTCAGGCTTCAGTCCTGAACACAGCATAGCTGACTCTGTAGATGGGTGAGTGAAATATAAGTGTGAAAAATAGTTTTGAAATTTTCAAGCGTGTCTGCTAGTTCTCAGATGTTTTATGCGTTTTGGATAGGATTTACACTTCTAGAGAAGGTCTGATGAAATGGAAAGTTTCTTAATGGGTGAATTAATAGGAAACAATAAATGGTAAGGCTAGTAAACAGAAAAAAAGAAAACCTGAAGGAGAAGCTGGAATGGCACTGTCCAAGATTGAGCAGAGGAGGCAGGTTAATAGGACAGTGGCTTTCAAGAGGTAATGGATTTTTTTTTTTTCTTGGCTCTGTTTCATTAGATGTGTGCAAAATCAAGTGCTTTTTTTTTTCAGTCATTATGACTGAAGGACTTCTAGTGTAACTGAACAAATTGTATTTTTTCCTGTCTAGCTAACTTTCCCATTTCCACTTAAAGTGCACTGTCAAGTGGAATCTCATCCATACAGCCATTTGGAGATAGGAGTATGAAAGGTTTATGTTTAAATTTGTTCAGTTCAGGAAGGCTTTTACTGTAAATGGGAGCATAGTTTTTATTCTCCCTAGATGCAGCTGATCTGAAGGCAAGGTATTAAAGCAAGCCACTTCTTGTTTTCATGAGGATGGCTTCAGCTTTGTGCTTAGGTTTTGATTTTTACATTTTTTATTTTTATTAATGTTGTTTTGGAGAGCCAAAGTCTCTTTGGAAAGCTTGCACTGTGAGGAACGCGTAGTCTCCTTGCTGAAATGAGAGCTCAGAGGGGGTAACTGAATACTCCCTGCTGTCAGTGCATTGCCAGCCTGCAATAAAAACAAACATGCTCACTGAGAACAATGAACATTCCTTGAAACCCTAGGAGACAGATTTTTGCCTTTTTTAATTCAAGACAAAAAAAAAAAAAAAAAGACCCTGTTGAGGTCTTCAGGCCCAGGTGGCAGGGCCCACAGGCTTCTTACCCCTTGCCATTCAATTGATGCCTTATTAGGGCATAAGGGCCACAACTGGTCTGCATCTATGTTTTGGAGTTTAAAACATGTCCTCCTATTAAATAATTTCCCTCCTTTTTTTTTTTTCACCTCTGTTTGACCTTCTCCCAATAATTCTAGTGATTCAGCTCTGATTTTCATTAAAGTTTTCACACTGCTTTTCTAACCTACTGTGCTTCAGACCTCCAAGCACAGTTTATTTGGTAGTAACCTATAAATTAATCTGAATACTTGAAAGACTTGCAGTTGCCTGTTAGGCGGCTTGAGATACGCGAGTCCCAGGCTGCCTGTTCTCTTGTTCAGCTCTGTCTGACTTAAGGGTCCCTTGTAAGCCAGCCACTCCATACTTGACATCCCTGAACTGAAATCTTTCCTTGCATGTAAGGCATTTCCACTGCTGCTCCCTTATTTTTAGCTTTGCTGAAGATTTGCAGCCATAATTTGGTATTTGCTAAATTCTTAGCGTTCAAAGCATACACAGGCAGGTCAGAGGGCAGGTCATAGCTTGAGAATTAGCTGTATTGGGATGTAGAAACTTGCTCTGTCTTTAATTATGTGGTTTTATTAAGATAAGTTCTGGAAATAAAGTTGCTTGACTAGTATTAGTAATGAGCATTTTAGTATAAGACCAAGCATTTTTCATGACATTCTTTTTGGCTTAGATTTGCAGGTCTGAAGATTTTTGAGAACATTTATCCTAAACTTACATAAAGAGAGCTTTTATGTGCCTGCAGTGAGATTGCTGCAGTGTATGACATCATCCTAGTGTACTTTCATCAAGAGATATTGCTTTTTTTATTAGGTTATTTAATTTATTCTTTTGTTGCTGGAGTATTCTTTGTAGCTTCACTGGCATTTAATAATGTGAGACTCAGATACTGTAGTCAGTGCAAAGTATAATGAAGATATAAATGAAAGTCTGCTTTGAAGACAAAGTGTCAAATATACAAGAAGAGGTGGGGTATGGATTGTAAGGGATGAATGAAATTAAATGCATAGATCATGAGCCCAAGCAACTCCGAAGCCAGAGGCTATGCTGACAGCAAAGGAGATGGGAAGAAATTGAGAAAGCTGAGGGCCTGAATTGCAGTCTTCAACACCTACAGCTGTATTTAGAATCATAGAATCGTTTGGGTTGGCAAAGACCTTTAAGATCATAAAGTCTAACCATTAACTCAGCACTGCCAAGTCCACCACTAAACCATGTCCCTAAGTGTGGCATCTACATGTCTTTTAAATACCTCCAGGGATGGTGACTGCACTGCTTCCCTGGGCAGCCTGTTCCAATGCTTCACAAACAGTTCTCTTCACTGGCACAACTTGAGACCATTTCCTTTTAGCCTGTCACTTGTTACTTGGAAGAACAGACTGGCCCCCACCTCGCTACAACCTCCTTTTAGGTAGTTGTAAAGGGTGATAAGGTCTCCCTCAGCCTTTTTTTCTCCAGACTAAATAACCTCAGTTGCCTCAGCCACTCCTAATAAGTCGTGTTCTCTAGACTCTTCAGCAGCTTAGTTGCCCTTCCTTGGACATGCTTCAGCACCTCCATGTCCTTCTTGTGGCTCGGGGTCCAAAATGGAGCGTAATACTTGATCTGCAGCCTCACCAGTGCTGAGTACAGGGGGACAATCACTTCCCTAGTCCTGCTGGCCACACTGTTTTTTATACAAGCCAGGATGCTGCTGGCCTTCTTGGCCACCCGAGCACACTGCTGGCTCATGTTCAGACAGCTGTCCACCAACACCCCCAGGTCCTTTTCTGTGGGGCAGCTTTCCAGACACTTTTCCCCAAGCCAGTAGTGTTAGATGGGGTTGTTGTGACTAAAGTGAAGGACCTGGCACTTGGCCTCGACCCATCAATCCAGCCAGTCCATGTCCTTCTGCAGAGCTTTCCTTACCTTAAGCAGATCAACACTCCTGCCCAGCTTGGTGTCAGCTGCAAACTTACTGAGTGATCAGTGATCAATGATCATTCATGATCATTGATAAAGATATTCACCACAACAGGCCCCAGTACTCTGTGTGTGTAAGGGGTGTAGTGGGTCACTGATTTTTTCCTCTTCAATTATGGGGGCTTCATTCCATTCCCTGTCTTCCAGCTCAGGTCTCTGGGCAGTCAGAGGGCAACTGGTCTTACTGTTAAAGGCTGATGCAAAGAAGACATTCAGTACCTCAGCCATGGCCACTGTTTCTCCCCCCACATCAAGTGGAGGATGGAGGTTCCCCTTAGCCCTCCATTTGTTACTCATGTATTTGTAGAAACATTTTTTGATTGTCTTTTATGGCAGTAGTCAGATTAAGTTCTAGTTGGACTTTGGCCTGTCTAAATTTACCCCTGCACAGCTTCATGACATCCTAATAGTCATGCTTTGAAATGAGTTCAAACTGCTGGTACTTGCTAGTCTGGCTGATCAAGCTTTTGAGATTTATCTTAAATTTTGAAAATGGGTAACTCATCATGTGGTTGTTTGTTTTTTTTTTCCTTCACTGGGGTGGGAATTGCCAAACCCTGACTCTTTAATTTATCTTGTGCCTGTTTCACCACAGGTTATGAATAGTTGTGTAAAAAATTTAATGAATGTGAGAGATGCCTGTGGCAGCAAAATAATCTTCCAGTGAATTTCCCTTAGTATTATTTTGCTCTTCAGCAGTGTGATGTGTTGTTTTTCTTCCTTGGTTCTCAGAGCGTCTTTTCTTCTTTGAGCCAGAGCTGTTAGCTAGCTGTGTGGATTATATATTCTCAATTATTTTCCGAACTGTTATGTGCCTGATGAAAATCACTTTATTTTCTAGAAGAGTGTTTTTTAAGCAATATTTGGGGATTTCATTATATTCCTAATTTTTTGAGTTTACTCTGTGCCTAATGTTATTGACTGAATGGTTAATATTATTGGCTACCTTCTCTAGAGAACCAGATTTTACGATGCCTGCCCAAAGGTCTATTTGCAAGTATGATTGCCTGTACAGTATTGAATGGAGCTCAAGATCACAGATGCTTTTGACTCCCAAATATCCATCAAGTTTTCTAGTTTTCTCAGGATTTCTCCCCCCTTTCATTTCTTTCCTGTTCTAATTGTCTGTGTACCATTGCTCCTTTATAGTGTTTTTAAATGTATCTTCTAAAATTATATTACGCACTTAATGATTGTATTAACTATTGCATGAAGCCGATATTGGGAACTCATTAACTTGTTTTAAAGGTGGCACTCTGCAGCCTCAATTTTACCCTTTGGTATGCTTTTTTTTTCAGATTGAAGATGGGAGCAAAGCTGCAGCTGTGGACAAGTTACTGGCTGGGGATGAAATTGTCGGCATCAATGATGTCGGCCTCTCTGGATTCCGACAAGAAGCGATCTGTCTGGTGAAGGGTTCACACAAGACACTGAAGCTTGTAGTAAAAAGGTAAGCTTGTGTCGTTCAGTTGGGAAACCAAATGTCTTCCAGGTTATAAGATACTGGACAACTAAATTTGCCAAGACTTGGCAAGGTAATGACTTTGATTCTGGGTTATTAATGTACCTATGTGCTGTTACCTCTTCCCTGACCATGGACCCTTTGTGGAAGAAGGTGTGGGAAGAGGCAGCCTGCAGATCAGAGCAAAGCCTGAGGCAATATATTCTGCGAATGCCCTGGTGGTGTGATGAGGGGACTCTGCTCCTTTCTGTCCTCCCAGAGTGCAGGGCTCAAACTGGCTGCCAGCCTCCCCTGCTTCCCTGCCTTCCGTGTGCAGGCACGGGCAAGGATTTTTAGTGCACTTGCTGTGCAGGCCAGTTGGGCTGTGAGGAGCAGGCTGCATGGGAAGCTTTTCCTGCTTTATGAGACTATTTGAGGACTCAGGCATTTCTTACGTGGTTTGGGTAAAGAGTTCTTTCAGTTAGTTATTAGTGAAGGGGATAAACTGAAATGGTTTATCAAAATAGAACACGTTTTTGGTATGGAAACTTTTTTGCCATTTTGACTTATGACATTTCACACTGTTAGTACTAACTTGAATTAAAAATAAGTTTTATAAAATATTTTTTAATAAATTGGACAGATGTGAATGAAAGTAGGTTAAATCTTGAAACTTCTGCAAAAAATCAGGAAATTCAAGCAACAAAATCTTCCTAATTTATTGCCCAGTCTGGTGAATTGGAACTTTCAGATGAATTACTTGTTTTTAGCAAATTATACCAACCAGTGTTTCGTGTGAGATTTTTTGGTGTTTATGTTAGAATCAAAACAAGAATTTTCTTGGAACACAGAAAATGATGGGAATTAGGGTTTGACAGACATGATGATCCAGTCTATACACGTAACCACTGTCTAAGGCTGTCTTAAATGAAGACTGTTTTTTTTGTGAAACAGGGCTGACAGGTAAGAGAGGTACAAAAGCAAACTTTTTGCCTTTGGTTTAAGAAGTTAGTTTTGATAGAAGGAATTATGGGAACCTGAATCTCTTTCTCAGATGATAGTTTATATCTTCACCAATAGCTACTTCCAGAAGCTCAACCAAAATCTGTATAACCCTAAAGCTAATAAATGCAAACCAAAATGCATTCACAACTATTATAAGTCATGTTGATGTTCAGTGCTTTCAACTTGCTCTGGCTATTCTAGTAAAAGCAAAAGCACTTTTGTTAGCAGAGGTTACATCAGCTGTTTCTGTCACAGGAAGGGAGAACTTCAGGGTTGAGAGGTTTTATAGACATTAAAGAATCTGCCAAGACAGCAAGTCTTAATTACTATGACAAGATTCACCCCAAGTGGAAAACTTCCATCTTTTTTGGGGTTTTTCTGTTTTATGACAGTGACTTAGAATCTGTGAATTCTCATCTGTCTTTGGAAATGGCATGAGGTTTGAGGCTGAAATGCTCTTATATATAAGAGACAAGGCTGAGTGTTGTCACTGACAAGTACTTCAAGCATGTGAATTTGAAGTTTGATACAGCCTATCAAGCACTGATTTGCTGCTGGGGATTTGTGGCCGTTCTCTGCAGGCGACAGAGCCCCATTGCTATGCGTGCCTGCATGCAGCTTGGTGCAAAGCTGATGGATTTTCATCAGTCCTTTCTCGTCCTTCTTCTTTCTGCTTCCCTAGCACATGTGCAATGGGCAAAAGCAACCTAGCTGTTCTAGCCAAGAGGCTGAAATAGTGGCTGTTGTTAGGGAAAACATTTTTGTCTTAAATTCATTAAGACTTCCAGAGCTCCCAAAAGAGGCAAGAGACTTTTGGGTCCTTGACAAGCCTGCATAATATTAGATAAAATTTCATAAAACTTAATGAATGAAATTAGCTAGGGTTTTTGTCTGTGGTTTTTCAGCTTTACTCTTTCTCTTGGACAGTTGCCTTAGGACATCAGTCCTTTGACGGTCAGAAACCTTTTAACTTCCAGTCTCATTTTATTCTTGGCCAGCTTGTTCGCATGCACTGCTGTCTGTGTGCTGAAACAGCTTTTCTTTCCCTGTTGGAAGTTCAAATGCTGCAGGTTTTTATAAAAGCCTTGTTGCCTTCTTTCTTTCAGAAGTTACGGTTTGAACAACAGTATAGTTTTGTTTTGTTTGCCCAAAATGTTAGGCTGAATTTTTATGAGTGCTTTAAACAGTCCTGTCTTTAAGCAAACCAGTTGTTTATTCTTTGTATGAGCACTCCTGCAGGTCTGGATTGAATTGGATCAGGGAACTGATCAGGGAACTGATCTGACTACAAAATTACTTGGGGAGGTAGTTTTGAGCTGGATAGGACTACCACTTTTCAGAGACAGTCTGCACTTTAATTACAACAATCTTGAAGTGCCTGTCTTAGCATTTTTAGATTATTTCAGCTGCCTTTAGATCCACCCTTACTGTTGTCTAGGGTGAGTACCACACTTCTCTTTCACTGAGTTACATGTAAGATGAAGTATTGATCTGCAAGCCATCGTAGTATCTTTTTGTCTGCTTGCTCTGTGTGCTTTGTCTAGCACTGTGATGCTTCTCTGTAGCATTGATTTATTATTTTATTCCCTGTGGGTGTTGGTGTGATAATCCAAAGCAAAAAATAGACAAATGGTTTGAAGTTCAACAACCCAGTCTTGAAGGTTAAGAGAGTCTTTTTTCAATCACGCTTGTCCTTGCTGTTTGTGACAGCTTGAGAAGCAAAGATCTAGATTTTGTGTTGAATACTCTCTTTCGCTAGCGTTATTTGTAGTATCTATTTCTAGACTGATCCAGAAGTGAAAAGCAAACTCTTTGAAAACCATCATGTGGAAAAGTTACTTTTTAGCGAAATTATTTGTAAAGTAGAGAACTTATTTCTTATTAATGTGAATAGAGTTAATCAAAAAAAATCAGGTTTTATTTGTATCTCTGTGGAGGAGCGTGTCCGTGTGAAATTCCTCCACAAGGGCCACTCTTTCAGACAGTAATGCCACATCTCGTTCTCACTTTAACTATTTCTGTAGCTAGGAAGCAGTAGAGGATGCTATTTTTGGTTTAGAAGTCTGATGCACTTAAAGCCAAGATCAAGTGAAAAAACTTTACTGTAGCGAGTAGCATGCTTCATCCACAGTCATTAACTTCTGACTGCAGCAAAAGTTTCTCAGTGGTAGCTGAGTTCCACAAAATCATTTTGACCCACTATTTTTAAAGAATCTGCTGCTTGACTTGCATAGGTAAGATAACATTGGTCTCTAAATAAAAGTGCCGCCAGTACCAAATGCTCAGCATAAATGTGCTGCCTATCCACAAACAGGCTTTGCTGTATTTTTTGGAAATGTTGCATAGTTGTGGTCTAAACCAAATCAGGACTGTGCAACTGGCTCAACAACAAACATGTTGTTTAAATAGGTTACATACACTAACAGTTGAATGACTGCGGTGTACTTCTGGTCTTGGATGAAAAGAGGATTTGGGAGGCTTCGTGTTGTTTTCTCAAGGGGATTTGTCAGAACAGCACATCTTAATCACGTACTAGTTCCTCAGTGTAGCACTGAGTTGTTTCTCGAGTAGATTTCTTTCTTAGGAAAATGGAAAGGAAACTGTACTTAGGACATTTCTTACAGGAACTGTGTGTGAATTTCTCTGGGTTTGGAAGAGATGTCTGTATGTACGCATGTAAAATTGCTCAGTGTTGATACTGAGGTGGTTAACATATTATGTATAATTTAATTGTTCTGCATACACTTGTAAATTAAATTCCCTTCTGTTCATTAAATACTATCTCTATTCCTTTGCACATGGCTAGACATAAGTGTATGAAAATTTGGAATAGTTTTTCACTATGAATTCATGAGACACATTAAGCTGTTAAACATTGGCACGAGGGAGGCGCTTCCATTTGTGATTGACTGATGTTAAAGGGAGGGTGGGATTATATGGCCTTCGGGAGCCACCCTAAGAAGGTATGTCGGAGTTGTCCCTTTGGCTGCTTGAATCATCTATTAGTGACAGTGGGGATAGGTGGGCAAGGGAGGGAGTAGCCATGGACTTCTTTTCCACAAGGTCCGCTGGTGGCTGGAAGCTGGACTTCTGGTTTAACTTGACCAATTCTGCAGGCACTGCCAATGCCTGAGAACCAGCCTTAAAGTTCTGGAGTAGTTCTGGCCACGTTGCCCACACGTGTGATTGGGCATGCTTTCTTTCCTTCTCTGGAGCATTTAGTGCCTTTATGTGACCAAAGTGGAAGCCAGTTTTGCAATGCCCTTGTTAGAGCAGAAGGAAGGTGAGTGAGAGCAAACACACTTGCCATCGGAAGCATAGTCCGAATACTGAAATTTACTGTGCAGGATCCTGATAAGGGAAGTGAATGGTGTGATGTGTGAACTGTAAACACCTACACATGGAAAGTTAGCGTATAAGTTTTTAAAAATTGTTACTGCTGGAATACTCTGTGAAACTTGGAAATATGAATTTGTGAACGACTTTGGGAAGATGAGAGGTTTTTGTTTTCTGTACAATTTGCAGATATAGATGGAGAACTGTGAGTTCTCCCTCTTACCCTGTATTTGGCTACTTGGTCTAGTTTTATAGATAACAACAGTATAAGAAACAAATAGAAAAATACACATAATTTTACAGATTTTAAGGAAGTATTATATGTATTTAGGTTATGGGTATGGTTAAGTATTGCTCAACAAACCAAATACATTTGTGGAGGACCAGTGCTGAGTAGGAGTAAAATCTGTTTTGCCATGAAATTTGTTTTCATTGCTTCTGGAACTAGGGTTTGTTATAGCAGAACAAATAGCAATGATTTCTCTCTTATGCAGTAGCCATAATACTTCCTTTTGGAAAATTGACCTTGTCCTTAATTGACCAAGAACAGAGTTTTATTATTTTTTGAATGCCTATATTTTCAGCCAGCCCTTGTAAATAAGAAGGAAACTGCAGTAGAGCTTGCCAGGGTTTCTGTAAGAAGTAGGCAGGTATGACAGTACCTTGCT